TCTGCTGCTATAGACTTAGACTGCTGGAGCACAAACTGAGCACATTTCTTCACTCTGCTGTTGTCTTTAGTCTCTCTTCTCAACATGTTTATTGTAATTATTTCTATCAATAACCTGTTTTCTTTGTCTCTCTTCCAGAGGAAAATACACCTGGACCAGCACTTCTGTTAGTCTGAGTCTGTTTCCGGTCTCATAAACCCAGCCGGTCGGACTTACTTAGATAAGGATGAAAAAATGTTTATTTGTCACCGGCTTCACATAAGATCTATGTTAACTTAGATCGTTTACATTTAATGTGAACATTTTTGTGCCCTGAGATGACTTTTATTGGGAAATGGTTCTATGGAGATGACTTGAATGAAATTAAAACTTAAGAGGTGAAATCACTTTCATCTTGTGTTTCTGCATTAAAATGAAACATAAAACAGTGGTGATCTGTGTAATCATTATAAAATGGTTCCAGTTGTAACGAGCTTGTGAACAATCTCAGTTTAGGATTAACACATGAAGTCTAAGTGGAGTGAGATTAATACAAAAACAGCCAAGACCAAAGTGGACTGTTGTCATTTTAAAACTATTTCATTTTTTGGAATTTAATGAGGATCAATTCAAGTGCTACATATTAACACTGCCGTCATTTAACAGTACAGGGTTATTTACAGGAAAGTGTATTTGCAAGAGCAGCGAGATGAAGAACCAACACAGCTTTGGGGACGTCTGAGAGGAATTTAACTTTTTTTTTCATTGTTTCATGGTAGTTACTTTTGACTTTTTTTTTCTTTTATGGCTAAATCGTTTGAGAACCAGTTCTTGTTTATAAAACTGATCTAAAATAACTGTGTGACACGAAATTAATTCCAAAGAACTATAAAATGTTGAAAACTGAAGTGGTTTTATGACAGCAACATTTGTTTTGGAAGTGGGTCAGCTGAGATTAGCACATCTGACTCACTTCCACAGTAAATAGTGTCGTGTTAAATCATCTCCAATTGTCAAAAAATTTATAGTGGTTTATGCAAACACAGTTTGAAAATCGTTGCACTTACATCAGCTTTGCATCATACAGTTATCTTTCCTCCTGAACCATTTCTGCCTGATTTAACCCCAGCCTGAAAGTACTACAGATTACTGCTGCCAGAGTTCACACATGCTCATAACCAAGGAATTTCATGTTAATTGTGAAAGTGATAACTTTAAGTCTCATAAGAGGGAGCTGACGGATTGTAGACAGGCACGGGAACTGATAAACRGCCCAAATCATGGATTTGGAAAATCCCTTCTTGCCTTGACAAGGAACACTTTAAATACACTGGTTGGAGTCCTCACTGGGCACAATCTGCTCAACCACCATAAAATGGTGATGGGACTCCAAGACAATGGTCTGTGTGATGCCTGCGGCATTGAATCAGAGACCTCTTTGCACTGCTTAGGCCAATGCTTGGCTCTGAGTAGTCTAAGGGAAAGAATTCTTGGAGACCCCTTTGTGGATCCCGAGAAGCTTAGAACACTGAGGGTTTCTAACCTGGTGTCCTTCATCCGAGGGACAAAAAGGTTTGATTAAAGCCCAGTATCTTTTGGGGAGAGCAATGGGCCCACTTATGAGGCCCCTGCTCACCTGGGTTGTACCCATCCCCAATTACCATTACCATTACCAATAAGTCTCATAAAGTACTGTGTCTGTGTGCATGAACAATTAATATTAAAACAATAAAACATTCTGGAATTACGCTCTTTTAGGAAGACAGGGCGATCGTAGTTGAATTTAAATGTCAACCTTTTGCACAAAGCTTCAAAATGGCCAAAACGTTCCTTTAACAAGTAAGTCAGGGTAACCACATACTGCTGAATGACTTATTTATGAAAAACCAATTGATCTCAGCAGACAGCTTTTTTATTAGGATATAGTTTATGACTTTGAAATATGTTTTTGGGAACTAACAGAAAGCTTCGCAGCCTCCTTGTAAAGCTTTTGGTGTTAAACAGGCAACAGTCCCATCTAGTGGCAGTAATTATTTGCACATAAGCTTTGAGTTTATGTCAGTTTTTGTGTTAAGAAAACTAACTAACCTAATTAATTAATTAATTATTTAATCTGTGCATGGATTCAATTTTCTTATTTTATTTAAAAACAATACTTCTTTGTCTTTGTTGATAGTGTTCAAAAATGGGCTCTGCAATTTAGATTTTTCATTGTTTCTCAGTTTTCAATGTCATTTGTAAAATGAAATAGGTTTGTGAACAATTATTAATACTTTTCTACTTAGAATGTTTTAGATTAGAGTTTATGTTGGAGGGTTGGTTTTTTCTTGGTTTCTCAAAGTATGCAGTTTAGGAATTATTTAGAAAATATTTCAAATCTTTAAAAACGAGCTTTTCAGATTTATTTCTGTTTAAATAGTTTTCCATTGCTGATGACGTATTTCCAAAAACAAACACTATACAGTAGACTAGTAGTAATTTTTCTATGGATACCAGCACACATAGGAATAATAGGAAATGAAAAATCAGACAAAATAGCAAAACAGGAGGCTACCAAAAAACAATGTAGTTGAAACAGAAATAAAATTCAGTGAAACAGAAATTAAAAGTATTATAAAGGTAAAAATGAGAGAAAATGGCTAAAACACTGGGAGGAAGGAAGAAAACAGAGATGGTTTTATAGAATTCAACAGAAAGCGGGAGAAATGAGGAGTACTGGAGGAAACAGTTATATCAGGACATGCAGGGTTAAACACAACATTATTTATTATTGGAAAACAAACAACAGGAAAATGTGAGTGCTGTGGAGAAGACGAGGACATAGAACATGTATTAATACATCGCCAAAAATACAGAAATGAAAGATTTCAATTAACTAACAGACTTAATGAAAATAAAATAAGGTTGGACTTTATAGAAATATTACGAGGGAATTCTAAATCTGAAAGCACTGTGGAATTATTCCAGTACTTGAAGCAGACTCATTTGTTTGAAAGAATATGGGTGATTTTTTTGGCGTTAATCCAGTCCTCCTTCCACACCAGTAGGTGGCGGTAACGCACCTTACAGTTGTTTGCCAACCTCACAAAAAAAAGGAAAATAATGACGTATTTCCGGTTCGTTCAAGGCGCAATGGCGGCTCAAGCGAGCGAGCTTGAAATTGCGAAGAAAAATTTAACGGATGCGGTCGGGGATAACGTGAAGCAGTAAGAAATATATGTTTTAAATGTGTTTTCTCCGTTTATTGTTGATGTTTCCTCCATTTTGCCCACAAAAAGCAACATACAAAACCTCGATAATTTTCCAAACTATGTGCAAACTAGCTTCTACCTAGCTAGCAATGCTAATGTTTGGCTAATATATTACCCCAACTTCTGCTGTCTTTCTTGTATGTTACGTTCGTGTGGTGAGACATCCAATAAATGTTAAATGTTACTCGCGTTACATATAAAGTCATATGTTTATTTTAACGATACGATTTTAGAAATCAAAATGAGAAAAGTTGGGGGCAATGTGTCACTAGTTCAAATAAATTAAGATGATCTAGTTTAGTGGTTCCCAAACTTTTTATCTTCTGACCCACAAAATATCCATGGCAAAAACTTGTGACCCCAAATATTACTGGTCTGAGTACACAAACGATGTTAACAACCCTAAAAACACAGGCTTTTTGACAATCTAAACAGCTTGTACACAAATATAAATAATTATTTTTATTTATTTTTGTGTTTTTGTAATAATTATAGGGAAAATATTACATCAGCAATTATTTTATTACCCTTTAAATTGATTTCTGGAGATTATCCAAGGTGCTTCATGACCCATAATTGGGTCCCAAGACCAACTTTGGGAACCAAAGTGCAGTGGTTCCCAAACTTTTCAGCTTTTGACCCACAAAATAACAGTAGCAGAGACCTGTGCTCCCAACTCTTTTTGTATGATAAACATTTGTATCAGGTCAACTAAACATGGGCATAGTAACAATATTTTTATACTACATTTATCCATTTTAAATATACTAACCTCACTCCTTTGTAACAACTAAGGCAAATATGTAATTAATTAAGAAAATCTTTTCAGGACCCCACCTTGATGTTTCGGGACCCCACTTTGGGTCCTGACCCCAACTTTGGGAAACACTGATTTAGAGAAAACGAAGCTAATTAGTCCTCTGTTATTGAGAACATGTTACACGAACAAAAAATAATAAAAACAAAGAGCTTGAAATGCACAGTTAGAAATGTTTTGATGTGATAAGTGTTTGTTGCCTCCATGCAGTTACTGGGCAAACCTGAAGTTGTGGTTCAAACAAAAGATCAGCAAAGAGGAGTTTGACATTGAAGCACGTCGACTTTTACCACAAGAAAATAGTAGGTGTTCACGTAAAGCTGAGCTGATCAATAGTGTTTTCTGAGAAGCTTGTCTTATGTTTCGTATCCCTCTTTTTTTCCTCCTGTAGTGCACGTTCACAATGACTTCCTCTTGGCCATCCTCACACGGTGTCAGATCATTGTTTCCACACCAGGTAGGAGAGTTTGTGCAGCAAGAAACTGTGGTTCTGTATGATACAGGGAGAACTGGGAAGGACCTACGAATCCTGGGTTTACTTAAGCAAGTTAACCAGATTATATCCTAGATATATTTAATCTGCTTCACATTACAAACAATTGAATGCACAGCTTTAATACTGAAAGTTTGGGTACAAAGAAAACAAAAAGTGTATGTATAAAGATATTCAGATTTATGAAACAGTATGCATCAGTCTGTCTCCTCTCATAAATAAATAGGCAAATTAGGATGAATACATGGCGGGCTTCCATGTTTGACTATAAACCATAAATACTCAAACTTGAACTGACTGGAGTCATATTTGGGTTTATTTAGGCAAATTTCAGCACTTTGTAGTTTGATAATGATAACTAAAAGGTTTGTATGGAAACTAGGGCTGCATCGATTAGTTGAAATAATCGATGATGTCGATTATGTAAATTTGTCGATGCAGATTTTTTATTATCGATTCGCTGTATTACATAACCACCACGTGAATGTTCATGCAATTCCATTTTGGTACCTAAATGCATCATTGGGACCGTATTGGCATAAGAGTGGTGAGTTTTCCATGCTTGTCCTGAACGCAGCATCACGCAAGAGTGTAATGA